CTGCTGTTCTAGTGAGTGTATTTTGTGTGATCTCCCCCTGTTCTACAGAGTGAGTGAGTGTAGTTTGTGTGATCTTCTGCTGTTCTAGTGAGTGTATTTTGTGTGATCTCCCCCTGTTCTACAGAGTGAGTGAGTGTAGTTTGTGTGATCTTCTGCTGTTCTAGTGAGTGTATTTTGTGTGATCTCCTGCTGTCCTGCATGGGTTACCTCCGGGTTCCCAGGTTTCTTCCTTCCACACCCCCCCCACACCTCCACCCACCGCCCCACTCCCACAAATTGTCACTGACAATGCCCAGCAATCATCCCCTTCCCCACCACAAAGACGTGAATTCTCTAAAAGTTTACTCAAATGGGATCACACAATAACTACTACTAAATGTTTTCATTTTACCGGCTTAAGGCCCACTGAGCTCTGAAGCGGCCTGGCCACAACTGAAAGCGCGACAGAGTGGCTGATCACGTGGCAATGTACAGCAGTACAGCCAAATGCTCTAAACGCGTGATTCTGCATGTGGAGGGAACAGGTGCAGGACCCGGAGAGAAATCCACGCGACCATGGGGAGAGAGAGAGACATGCAAGCTATAGCCAGTAGTCTAGGCCAGCAGTGGATTGAGCGGGGCTCCAGCCAATGCTGGACTACACTCCGTTTGAACACCTGGGCTACGCACACATTTTAAACTTTTACAGTTTGCATTTAGAGGCTTACCCCCCTTTTCTCTCTGCCTGATGACGAGCGTTTGTGGTGCGATCGAAACGTCGTAGTTTTTTGTTTATTTAAACCTATCTACGTGACTTTACTGAAAGACCCAAAGAACAGACTGTAGGGGCAATTGCTGTTCGCGAGCACCTATAAAAGCCGGCACGGCACACGAGGGGGTGGGTGGCCAGCACCACGCCCGACCGCCTTCGTCTCCCCCGGTGGCGATGTTTACTGTACACCGCCCCAAGTACTTATTTGAGGCCGAGTCGACCTAGGGGGAGGAGGCCCCAGGACCGGTTCAGATTAATCGTCACCGGTTGCTGCGTAGCGCTAGCCACTGCGCCCACCGCTCCCCGTACCAAAGACTACAACCACCCACACCCACAAATGACGAATGCACTTCACATGTTTCACTTAAATTATTCGGAGCCATTACTTCAGAAGCAAAAAAAAACACGTGGCTAGGAGATGTTGACTTCCTCGCCTGGTGTACAGGAGGTCGTGTGTTAAATCCAGACCCTGACGCCTGCTGCTGTATATTTGGAGTTTGCGTGTCTCTCTCTCTCATCATTACCGTGGCTAGGAGATGTTGACTTCCTCGCCTGGTGTACAGGAGGTCGTGTGTTAGATCCAGACCCTGACGCCTGCTGTTGCATATTTGGAGTTTGCGTGTTTCTCTCTCCCAATGGTCGCGTTGATTTCTCTCATTTGATCAGGTAAGGCCCCACTGAGCGATGTGGCTCTTTTTCAGAAGCGACGTGGTCATCGCAAATGATAGCTCAACGGAGTGGGCTTATCCTCAAATAGTCGTGGGTATCGATCCCGACCCTGACGCCTGCGGTGTATATGGAGTTTGCGCGTCTCTCTCTTTCTCTCGCCTTGCGTGGAAGTGACGCTCATATTTAGAATGTTGGGAGCTGGAATGTACCCAAACGTGTCATTTGCAAGAATAGGCAAATTCTCCCGTGTGAGTCATGGTCGGTCGTGACGAAGAGCCGACAACTCGCGACACCTAAGAAACAGGTTTCACCACCACTCTGTCTGCGCAAGTCTTGTGGGTATAAGCCGACGTGCCATCACGCGAGTCTTTTCGTCGGGACGTGCGTACATTGAACTTATATCGCACCACCGTACGTGGCCAGCCGCGCTAATCGAAGGTGCTTGGGGGGCAGGTGGGAACAACAAACTAAACACAACAAACAGTTCTAAAGAAATTAGTTTTGTCAATCTAGATGATGACTTGAGAGTGCAGCACCGCTCCCAGCGGCTTCCTCGTATATCGGAGGAGCGTTCCAGACGGCCGCGGAAGCGCATTTGAGAGCGCGCGATGCGGTGACCACCGTCTTTGTTCGACGGTTCGCCGAAAGCCACCTGCGAGGATGACCGGGGTTCCGCGCGGCGACGGTTTGTGATCCCTGACGAGGTCGGCGAGGCATTGTGGTCCATTTGTGGCGAGCACTTTGGGGATCTACGCGAGTCTGCGGGTCTCTACGTGAGCCGAAAATAAATTATTTTATTTACCGGGTAAAGCCCCGTTGAGGCTACGGAGCTCTTTTTCGGAAGCGACCTGCCCACAAACGATAGCTCAACGAAGTGGGCTTATCACGTGGGACATTAATAGCAGCAGCCAAAAACTCTAAACGCGTGAAAATGTGGAGGAAAAAACCGGAGGACCCGGAGAAAAATCCACACGACCCTGGGGAGAGAGACGCAGACTCCAAATATACAGCAGCAGGCATCGTTGGGGTCGGGATTGAACCCACGACCTCCTGTACACCAGGCGAGGTAGTTAATATCTCCTAGCCACCGTGATGATGATGATGATGAGAGAGAGACGCAGACTCCAAATATACAGCAGCAGCAGGCGTCAAAGTCGGGATCGACACCACGACCTCCTGTACACTAGGCGAGGTAGTTAACATCTCATAGCCACCGTGATGATGAGAGAGAGACGCAGACTCCAAATATACAGCAGCAGCAGGCGTCAGGGTCGGGATCTACCCCCACGACCTCCTGTACACCAGGTGAGGTAGTTAACATCTCCTAGCCACCGTGATGATGATGATGATGAAAGAGAGACACGCAAACTCCAAATATGCAGCAGCAGGCGTCAGGGTCGGGATCGACCCCACGACCTCCTGTATACCAGGCGAGGTAGTTAACATCTCATAGCCACCATTGCGGCCATACTTCACCATGCGGTGGGAGTACACACACTTTACCCCACCAGACGGATCACTGCTGCGTGAGTGGGCAGTTGTAGGGGTGGTGGGTGGGATGGGGTGGCGGACGCAGATGCACACTGAGATTTTCAGCACAAAAGGAAAAGTAGGTAAACAAATATATATTAATATATTTATTCTTTAAGCAGTAGTTTCAAATTACTAAAAAAGAATCCTACACAGAACTGTAACGTAGACACGGAGATAACTTCACAACTATTGTTCTCAGTGTCAGGTGAGTAGGTGGGTGAGTGAGTGGGTGAGTGGATGGGTGATTGGGTGGGTGAGTAGGTGGGTGAGTGGGTGGGTGGATGGGTGGGTGGGTGAGTGGGTGGGTATTAGGTGGGTGGGTAGGTGAGCCAGTAGGTGGGTGATTGGGTAGGTGAGTGAGTGGGTGAGTGAGTAGGTGGGTGAGTGGGTATGTGAGTGAGTAGGTGGGTGAGTAGAGTGACTAGATGGATGAGCGAGTAGGTGTGAGTGAATTGGATGGGTGAGTGGGTGGGTGAGCAAGTAGGCGAGTGAATGGGTGGGTGGGAGAGTGGGTGAATAGTTGGGTGGGTATGCGAGCGAGTATTTGGGTGAGTAGATGAGTGACTAGATGGGTGAGCGAGTAGGTATGAGTGACTTGGATGGGTGAGTGGGTGGGTGGGTGAGTGAGCAAGTAGGCGAGTGAATGAGTTATTTTGAAAGGTGTCCTTGTGCCCCACAGGGCCGACTGATAGTGGGGGGGGGGGGGGGTTGTCCCTGGATCGTCACAGTGAGTGGCAGCAGTGGCGCTTCGTGGAGGTGCCCGTGATGATGATAGTGGTGACCATGGTGGTAGTGATGATCGTGGTAGTGATGATGATGATGGTGATGATAGTGGTGACCATGGTGGTAGTGATGATCGTGGTAGTGATGACGATGATGGTGATGATAGTGGTGACCATGGTGGTAGTGATGATCGTGGTAGTGATGATGATGATGATAGTGGTGACCATGGTGGTAGTGATGATCGTGGTAGTGATGATGGTGATGATAGTGGTGACCATGGTGGTAGTGATGATCGTGGTAGTGATGATGATGGTGATGATAGTGGTGACCATGGTGGTAGTGATGATGATGATGGTGATGATAGTGGTGACCATGGTGGTAGTGATGATGATGATGGTGATGATAGTGGTGACCATGGTGGTAGTGATGATCGTGGCAGTGATGATGATGATGGTGATGATAGTGGTGACCATGGTGGTAGTGATGATGATGATGGTGATGATAGTGGTGACCATGGTGGTAGTGATGATCGTGGTAGTGATGATGATGATGGTGATGATAGTGGTGACCATGGTGGTAGTGATGATCGTGATAGTGATGATGATGATAGTGGTGACCATGGTGGTAGTGATGATCGTGGCAGTGATGATGATGTTGGTGATGATAGTGGTGACCATGGAGGTAGTGATGATCGTGATAGTGATGATGATGATAGTGGTGACCATGGTGGTAGTGATGATCGTGGTAGTGATGATGATGGTGATGATAGTGGTGACCATGGTGGTAGTGATGATCGTGGTAGTGATGATGATGTTGGTGATGATAGTGGTGACCATGGAGGTAGTGATGATCGTGATAGTGATGATGATGATAGTGGTGACCATGGTGGTAGTGATGATCGTGGTAGTGATGATGATGGTGATGATAGTGGTGACCATGGTGGTAGTGATGATCGTGGCAGTGATGATGATGTTGGTGATGATAGTGGTGGCCATGGTGTTAGTGATGATCGTGGCAGTGATGATGATGTTGGTGATGATAGTGGTGACCATGGTGGTAGTGATGATCGTGGTAGTGATGATGATGGTGATGATAGTGGTGACCATGGTGGTAGTGATGATCGTGGTAGTGATGATGATGTTGGTGATGATGGCGATGATAGTGGTGACCATGGTGGTAGTGATGATCGTGGCAGTGACGATGATGTTGGTGATGATGGCGATGATAGTGGTGACCATGGTGGTAGTGATGATCGTGGTAGTGATGATGATGATGTTGGTGATGATGGTGATGATAGTGGTGGCCATGGTGTTAGTGATGATCGTGGCAGTGACGATGATGTTGGTGATGATAGTGGTGACCATGGTGGTAGTGATGATCGTGGCAGTGACGATGATGTTGGTGATGATGGTGATGATGGTGGTGACGAGGGCGATGATGGCAGGGTGACGACGACGTTGTCTCAGGGCGGCGAGGAGGTGAGGAAGTCGGGTTCGGCCGTCTTGCTGGCGACGAGGGCGAAGCACCGGGGGGACACCATGGGGTTGAACAGCCGCACGATGCCCGCGTGGGCAACGCCCTGGTCAACGTTCACAATCGATGTCACGGGGGGGGCACGACCGCGCCCCCTACCGTTCACGCGCGGGGGAGTTTCCATCACGCCGATCGGAGCGTGCACCCCAAGGTTAACCTGTATAGTAGTGGAGTGTATAGTGTAGTGTATAGTAGTGTAGTGTATAATAGTGTATAGTAGTGTAGTGTATAATAGTGTATAGTAGTGTAGTGTATAGTGTAGTGTATAGTAGTGTAGTGTATAGTAGTGTAGTGTATAGTAGTGTAGTGTATAGTAGTGTAGTGTATAGTAGTGTAGTGTATAGTGTAGTGTATAGTAGTGTAGTGTATAGTAGTGTAGTGTATAGTAGTGTAGTGTATAGTAGTGTAGTGTATAGTAGTGGAGTGTATAGTGTAGTGTATAGTAGTGTAGTGTATATTAGTGTAGTGTATAATAGTGTATAGTAGTGTAGTGTATAATAGTGTATAGTAGTGTAGTGTATAGTGTAGTGTATAGTAGTGTAGTGTATAGTAGTGTAGTGTATAGTAGTGTAGTGTATAGTAGTGTAGTGTATAGTAGTGTAGTGTATAGTGTAGTGTATAGTGTAGTGTATAGTAGTATAGTGTATAGTAGTGTAGTGTATAGTGTAGTGTATAGTGTAGTGTATAGTGTATAGTAGTGTAGGGTATATTAGTGTATAGTAGTGTATAATAGTGTAGTGTATAGTAGTGTATAATAGTGTAGTGTATAGTAGTGTAGTGTATAGTAGTGTAGTGTATAGTAGTGTATAGTAGTGTAGTGTATAGTAGTGTAGTGTATAGTAGTGTAGTGTATAATAGTGTAGTGTATAGTAGTGTATAATAGTGTAGTGTATAGTAGTGTATAGTAGTGTAGTGTATAGTAGTGTATAGTAGTGTAGTGTATAGTAGTGTAGTGTATAGTAGTGTAGTGTATAGTAGTGTAGTGTATAATAGTGTAGTGTATAGTAGTGTATAATAGTGTAGTGTATAGTAGTGTAGTGTATAGTAGTGTATAGTAGTGTAGTGTATAGTAGTGTATAGTGTATAGTAGTGTAGTGTATAGTAGTGTAGTGTATAATAGTGTAGTGTATAGTAGTGTAGTGTATAGTAGTGTAGTGTATAGTAGTGTATAGTAGTGTAGTGTATAGTAGTATAGTGTATAGTAGTGTAGTGTATAGTAGTATATAGTAGTGTAGTGTATAGAAGTGTATAGTAGTGTAGTGTATCGTAGTGTAGTGTATAGTAGTGTAGTGTATAGTAGTGTAGTGTATAGTAGTGTATAGTGTAGTGTATCGTAGTGTAGTGTATAGTAGTATAGTGTATAGTGTAGTGTATAGTTGTAGTGTATAGTAGTGTAGTGTATAGTAGTGTAGTGTATATTAGTGTATAGTAGTGTAGTGTATATTAGTGTATAGTAGTGTAGTGTATAGTAGTGTAGTGTACAGTAGTGTATAGTAGTGTAGTGTAGTATATAGTAGTGTAGTGTATAGTAGTGTATAGTAGTGTAGTGTATAGTGTAGTGTATAGTAGTGTAGTGCATAGTAGTGTAGTGTATAGTGTAGTGTATAGTGTAGTGTATAGTGTAGTGTATAGTGTAGTGTATAGTAGTGTATAGTAGTGTAGTGTATAGTAGTGTAGTGTATAGTAGTGTAGTGTATAATAGTGTAGTGTATAGTAGTGTATAATAGTGTAGTGTATAGTAGTGTATAGTAGTGTAGTGTATAGTAGTGTATAGTAGTGTAGTGTATAGTAGTGTAGTGTATAGTAGTGTAGTGTATAGTAGTGTAGTGTATAATAGTGTAGTGTATAGTAGTGTATAATAGTGTAGTGTATAGTAGTGTAGTGTATAGTAGTGTATAGTAGTGTAGTGTATAGTAGTGTATAGTGTATAGTAGTGTAGTGTATAGTAGTGTAGTGTATAATAGTGTAGTGTATAGTAGTGTAGTGTATAGTAGTGTAGTGTATAGTAGTATAGTGTATAGTAGTGTAGTGTATAGTAGTATATAGTAGTGTAGTGTATAGAAGTGTATAGTAGTGTAGTGTATCGTAGTGTAGTGTATAGTAGTGTAGTGTATAGTAGTGTAGTGTATAGTAGTGTATAGTGTATCGTAGTGTAGTGTATAGTAGTATAGTGTATAGTGTAGTGTATAGTTGTAGTGTATAGTAGTGTAGTGTATAGTGTATAGTAGTGTAGTGTATATTAGTGTATAGTAGTGTAGTGTATATTAGTGTATAGTAGTGTAGTGTATAGTAGTGTAGTGTACAGTAGTGTATAGTAGTGTAGTGTAGTATATAGTAGTGTAGTGTATAGTAGTGTAGTGTATAGTAGTGTAGTGTATAGTAGTGTAGTGTATAGTAGTGTACGGTATAGTATAGTGTATAGTAGTGTATTGTATAGTGTATAGTAGTGTAGTGTGTAGTAGTGTAGTGTATAGGAGTGTAGTGTATAGTAGTGTATAGTAGTATAGTGTGTAGTAGTGTAGTGTATAGTAGCGTAGTGTTTAGTAGCGTAGTGTATAGTAGCGTAGTGTATAGTAGCGTAGTGTATAGTGTAGAGTATAGTAATGTATTGTGTAGTAGTGTAGTGTGTAGTAGTGTAGTGTATAGTAGTGTAGTGTATAGTAGTGTAGTGTATAGTAGCGTAGTGTATAGTAGCGTAGTGTATAGTAGCGTAGTGTATAGTGTAGTGTATAGTAGTGTAGTGTATAGTAGTGTATAGTGTAGTGTATAGTAGTGTAGTGTATAGTGTAGTGTATAGTGTAGTGTATAGTAGCGTAGTGTATAGTGTAGTGTATAGTAGCGTAGTGTATAGTAGCATAGTGTATAGTAGCGTAGTGTATAGTGTAGTGTATAGTAGTGTAGTGTATAGTGTAGTGTATAGTAGTGTAGTGTATAGTAGTGTAGTGTATAGTGTAGTGTATAGTAGTGTAGTGTATAGTAGTGTAGTGTATAGTGTAGTGTATAGTGTAGTGTATAGTGTAGTGTATAGTGTAGTATACTAGTACAGCACACCGGTTGTGTGTTGGAGAGCCAAGCCACAACATTTACAAACTGAGTATGACATTTCACCAGTAATCACGACTAGCTTCATCAGGCGACGGCCAGATTTGTGGAGAAGTCTTACTGTTCTGTTCCTTATATCGAGGCATAGATGTGTATCCATAATAAAAACCTCTATTATGGATACATTTTCTTAGCTTGTATTTATAAATTAACAAATGAAGAGTTTAAGGTGTTTACCTGTTCTTGTAGGTAGCACAAGCGATCCGTTAAAATGAGCGCTTCCACACAGGGAGCGAGGGCGGCTTTCATCTGGATGCACGGACACAGAGACACGCACAGAGACACGGACACGCAGACAGAGACACAGACAGAAACACGGACATAGAGACACGGACACAGAGACACGGACACGCAGACAGAGACACGGATACGCAGACAGAGACACGGACATAGAGACACGGACACGCAGACAGAGACACGGACACGCAGACAGAGACACGGACACAGAGACACGGACACAGAGACACAGAGACACGGACACGCAGACAGAGACACAGACAGAAACACGGACATAGAGACACGGACACAGAGACACGGACACGCAGACAGAGACACGGATACGCAGACAGAGACACGGACACAGAGACACGGACACAGAGACACAGAGACACGGACACGCAGACAGAGACACGGACACAGAGACACGCACACAGAGACACGGACACAGAGACACAGAGATATGGACACAGAGACACGGACATGCACACAGAGACACGAACACGCACACAAAGACACGGACACAGAGATACGCACACAGAGACACGCACACAGAGACACGCACACAGAGACACGGATACAGAGACACAGAGACACGGACACGCACACAGAGACACGGACACGCACACAGAGACACGGACATGCACACAGAGACACGCACACAGAGACACGCACACAGAGACACGGACACGCACACAGAGACACGCACACAGAGACACGCACACAGAGACAGGCACACAGAGACACGGACACGCAGAGACACGCACACAGAGACACCGACACAGAGACACGGACACGCACACAGAGACACGCACACAGAGACATGGACACGCATACAGAGACACGCACACAGAGACACGCACACAGAGACACGCACACAGAGACACGCAGACAGAGACACGGACACACAAACAGAGACACAGACACGCAGACAGAGACACGCAGACAGAGACACGGACACACACACAGAGACATGGACACAGAGACACGGACACGCACACAGAGACACGGACACGCACACAGAGACACGCACACAGAGACACGGACACGCACACAGAGACACGCACACAGAGACACGCACACAGAGACACGGACACGCACACAGAGACACGCACACACAGACACGGACACAGAGACATGGACACAGAGACAAAGAGACACGGACACGCACACAGAGACACGGACACAGAGACACGGACACAGAGATACGCACACAGAGACACGCACACAGAGACACGCACACAGAGACACGGACACAGAGACAAAGAGACACGGACACGCACACAGAGACACGGACACGCACACAGAGACACGGGCACGCACACAGAGACATGCACACAGAGACACGCAGACAAAGACACGCATACAAAGACACGGACACACACACACAGACACGGACACGCACACAGAGACATGGGCACGCACACAGAGACACGGACACGCACACAGAGACCGGAGGCATGAGCTGTTTCGAGAGAGAGAGAGATCACAATCCAGAATATCTCACTTGTAAAATTAATAGTTTACCTGATTGAAAGCTTCAAGTTCGACCTTTCTGTCGATGTAACGGTCATGGTAGCTCTGGATTTCAGAATCTGTGAGCTGTATATACACACACACGAGCAAAGAATCGCAGAGCATCTATGGTGGCGTGAAACTACAGACATGTATCAGGACTGCATCGAGAGATGGTTTCAGGCCAGTCACACCAAAATCACATTCAATTAAATTCTGCGCTTAACCTGATGACGTACACGGAAACACGGGGACAGAGATATACCGACACACACAGAGACACGGACACGCACACACAGACACGCACACACAGACACGGACACACAGACACGGACACGCGAAACCCTCCGTCCTCTAACGGAGGGTTTGCAATTGTTTTGCGAGATTTATTTGTCGTTTAACCCAGGGCGGCGTTAACCTACGGTGGCGTTAACGAACAGAAAACTACAGCGGCGTTAATCGTTGTAGGATGCCACGCGGTTAACCGGAGCGCGGGGGGACAAAACACGGGAAAGTTTTACCTTGGCGTGATCAAGCCCCATCTTTTCCAGGACTCTTCGGCAGTAATCGACAAAGCTCCGGCTCTTCGAAAACACCTTTCCCACGTGCTCGTCGCTGAGAAACAACAACAATAACAAAACACCGAACAACGGTGCTCAGATCATGGCGAGTAATGAGATGTGTAGTATTCCCTGGCATATACGATATCGCTGTGGCATTGCCAGCCCTTATGTGATATCACTGTGGTATTGCCAGCCCTTATGTGATATAACTGTGGTAATGCCAGCCCTATGTGATATCACTGTGGTAATGCCAGCCCTATGTGATATCACTGTAACAAAGCCAGCCCTATGTGATATCACTGTAGCATTGCCAGCCCTATGTGATATCGCTGTGGTATTGCCAGCCCTTATGTGATATCACTGTGGTAATGCCAGCCCTATGTGATATCACTGTGGTAATGCCAGCCCTATGTGATATCACTGTAACAAAGCCAGCCCTATGTGATATCACTGTAACATTGCCAGCCCTATGTGATATCACTGTGACAAAGCCAACCCTACGTGATATCACTGTGACATTGCCAGCCCTATGTGATATCACTGTGGCATTGCCAGCCCTATGTGATATCACTGTGACATTGCCAGCCCTATGTGATATCACTGTGGCATTGCCAGCCCTACGTGATATCACTGTGACATTACCAGCCCTATGTGATATCACTGTGACATTGCCAGCCCTATGTGATATCACTGTGACAAAGCCAGCCCTATGTGATATCACTGTGACAAAGCCAGCCCTATGTGATATCACTGTGACATTACCAGCCCTATGTGATATCACTGTGACATTGCCAGCCCTATGTGATATCACTGTGACAAAGCCAGCCCTATGTGATATCACTGTGACATTGCCAGCCCTATGTGATATCACTGTGACAAAGCCAGCCCTATGTGATATCACTGTGACATTGCCAGCCCTATGTGATATCACTGTGACAAAGCCAGCCCTACGTGATATCACTGTGACATTGCCAGCCCTATGTGATATCACTGTGACAAAGCCAGCCCTATGTGATATCACTGTGACAAAGCCAGCCCTACGTGATATCACTGTGACATTGCCAGCCCTATGTGATATCACTGTGACAAAGCCAGCCCTATGTGATATCACTGTGGCATTGCCAGCCCTATGTGATATCACTGTGGCATTGCCAGCTCTATGTGATATCACTGTGGTATTGCCAGCCCTATGTGATAATGTTGTGACATTGCCAGCCCTATGTGATATCACTGTGACAAAGCCAGCCCTATGTGATATCACTGTGGCATTACCAGCCCTATGTGATATCACTGTGACATTGCCAGCCCTATGTGATATCACTGTGACATTGCCAGCCCTATGTGATATCACTGTGGCATTACCAGCCCTATGTGATATCACTGTGGCATTGCCAGCCCTATGTGATATCACTGTGGCATTTCCAGCCCTATGTGATATCACTGTGACAAAGCCAGCCCTATGTGATATCACTGTGGCATTGCCAGCCCTATGTAATATCACTGTGGCATTGCCAGCCCTATGTGATATCACTGTGGCATTGCCAGCCCTATGTGATATCACTGCGACATTGCCTGGCCAATGAGATATCACTGTGGCATTGCCAGTCCTATGTGATATCACTGTGACATTGCCAGCCCTATGTGATATCACTGTGACATTGCCAGCCCTATGTGATATCACTGTGGCATTGACTGGCCAATGAGATATCACTGTGACATTGCCAGCCCTATGTGATATCACTGTGACATTGCCAGCCCTACGTGATATCACTGTGACATTGCCAGCCTTATGTGATATCACTGTGACATTGCCAGCCCTATGTGATATCACTGTGGCATTGCCAGCCCTATGTGATATCACTGTAGCATTGCCAGCCCTATGTGATATCACTGTGACATTGACTGGCCAATGAGATATCACTGTGGCATTGCCAGCCCTACGTGATATCACTGTGGCATTGCCAGCCCTACGTGACAGCGCTGTGGTATTGTTAACCCTATGTGATATCACTGTGGCATTGTTAGCTCTATGTGATAAAGTCCACCAGGTAGATGGAGCGACGACATCGTAGGATCTGAGAGGTGGTGGTGCTACTGGGAGGCCTTCATCCAGCAGTGGGTCGATCAAGGCGGGTGGTAATTGTGTTCAGTGTGTGAATGTGTAGGTGGTAGTGTAGCGGTTAGCGCTACGCTGCGCTACGAACCCGGCGACCCGAGTTTGATTCCCGCTCACGGCCACATAACACCGGTGACAATTTTCTGAACCGGTCTTGGGCCTGCCCTAGGTCGACCCAGCCTAAAACGAGTACCTGGCGCGGTGTGGAGTAAACATCACCACACTGGGGAGACAAAGGCGGCCGGCCGTGGTGCTGGCCACCCACCCCCTCGTGTGCCGTGCCGGCCTTCATAGGTGTTACTCGTGAACAGCACTTGCCCCAATAGCCTGTTAAGGCTATACGGGGGATCTTTGTTTTTGGGCCGGTTAACCACCCCCTTGTATTCCGTGCCTATCATAGGTTCCCACTACGCTGACAGCACTTGCCCCAACCGACTTGAGAGACAGAGAGAGACACCTAGCGGGCAATTCCTGCATGTGCAGAGTTTCCTGATGCCACCAAGGGAGGGACAAGACAGCCAGAATCAGGGGCTCGAAAACCGCACGCCATGTGGCTGTTGCTGGCCCAAGTGTTTCTGACACCCGGGCACAACCATTGAACCGCACCTCACGTTCATTACCTGGAGCCGGAGTCGTAATGGTCTCGGATGAGTACTTGCAGCACGGCCCAGTAAAACAGGGAATCTGTCGGGAGCTTAATACAGACAAAGACAAAGATCCCCCCCGTATAGCCTTAACAGACTGTTGGGAGCAAGTGCTGTTACAGAGCAGGACCTTTGAAGGCTGGCACGGCGCACGAGGGGGGTGGGTGGCCAGCACCACGCCCGGCCGCCTTTGTCTCCCCAGTGGCGATGTTTGCACACCGCACCGGGTACTCATTTGAGGCTGAGTCGATCAAGGAAACGGTTCAGACAATTGTCGCCGGTGTTGGCCGCGAGCGAGAATCGAAGTCGGGTCGCCGGGGTTCGTAGCGCGGCGGCGCGCTAACCGCTACACTGCCGCTCTCCACTGTCCACACCACAGTCACACAAACACACTGACACACACTGACATACACACGCGCGCAACGGTAACACGCAACACAATGCAATCGACGTCAGGCTTGATGCATCCACTGTTGGACAGACTCCCCAAGCGGCAAGGGGCGGCAGCAGCCGAGCGGCGATCTGGCGTAAAGACCCAAAGCTCTGCAGTGCTCTAGGCATTGAGATGCTTTCAGACAATTAGTCATTAGCATGCATGCATGCTGAACATCTCTCGCACCGCACGTAGCCAACCGCGTCAAATGGGTGGACAGAGGCGAGACGAGAGGGTGGGTGGGGTGGTGGGGCGGTGGTTGGTGTCATTTAAGGAGGTGGAATGGAACCGGCGAGCTTTGGATGGCCGGCCCAAAGTTGTGCTTTTTTGCAACCAATTTCACGCACGGGAAAGGTTATTTTTTTTTCTCTCTGTAAATTCTGAACGCCGCCGTCGTTAAACCCGCCAACGCCAACCTGGCGCGGCCGGTTCGTCGCAATTGTGGGAACGACGATAGCGACAAGAACAACAACAAAAAAATCGCCCCAAGAAGCCGGTTGCATTTCGATTTAAAGCTTTCGTGACTGCAAGGATTCATCTTCTTTGGTTCTTTCGGTAAAGTCACCACGTAGAATGAGAATAAAATAATAAATTGATAAAATAAGATAACACAATAATATTCTCACGACGTTTCGGCCACAACACAAGCGGCCTTCATCAGGTGAAGGGACGAGACTGTCTGGTAGGACAGCGCTGGAGTGAAAAAAGCCACGTTCAGATCACGACCTTTAAGCTGTGTCAGAAGAAACAAAGCGCCTTGACAAAGGAATTAGCATATAATTTAGCATTGAAATGGCTGAGTGATTAGCTTGTGACTGGTCACAGAAATGGCTATGTTAAAGTTAAAGCATACACATCCGCAGAGGCACCCCTTGACAAAGGAATTAGCAGCTATTTCAATGCTTAATTCTATGCTAATTCCTTTGTCAAGGGGTGCCTCTGCGGATGTGTATGCTTTAACTTTAACATAGCCATTTCTGTGACCAGTCACAAGCTAATCACTCGGCCATTTCAATGCTAAATTATATGCTAATTCCTTTGTCAAGGCGCTTTGTTTCTTCTGACACAGCTTAAAGGTCGTGATCTGAACGTGGCTTTTTTCACTCCAGCGCTGTCCTACCAGACAGTCTCGTCCCTTCACCTGATGAAGGCCGCTTGTGTTGTGGCCGAAACGTCGTGAGAATATTATTGTGTTATTTTATTTTATCAACTTATTATTTTATTCTCATTCTACGTGGTGACTTTACCGAAAGAACCAAAGAAGATGAAGCCGGTTGCAATTACCGGCGGAGCGTCACAGTGCTCAGGCTGTGAATGTCACCGTGGGTTCACACTCCCGGCGCATTCTCCCATCGTAGCGCGCGGTGTTTTCAGAACGCGAATTGGATACAGTAAAAAAAAACACGATGGCAAATGTGTGTATTGTGTTATAACGCGGATGGGACTTGCATATAACGCGGTATGAAGCGAACGGAACTAGGATCGTGTTTTTTTTTATAATTGCAGAGTAGTAGTAGGTGTGATAACGCCACAGGCTGTGACATCATGCGCATTTTCCGGTGCGGTGACGTTACAGGATGTGACGTCACGCGCACCGGAAGGTACTTAAGCCGGAGCCCGAGAACGGAAGCGGGGTCGTTGCAGGGGCCCGGGAACCTGAAGGGTGGAAGATTGAACCAGGGGTAGGGGCTGACGGAGTCTGGAGAGAAGCCAGCGTTAGCAATAGGAGTGGCTACTCTCCTCGGTCGGCCGATGTTGGCCGATCCCTCGGCCGACGCAGAGAGGAGAGAGCCCGCGAAGCTAGCTGTGGTACAGAGCAGGCAGAGTGCGGGTCCGGGTGAAGGACCGAGCAAAGGACCCCTATCCCTGGGGACAAGTGTTATTCCCTAACCCAATCACGGCGTAAGCCCTTGTGTAAACATCTGGCGGAAGCCCCGACTGAAGATCTGCCTCCGAGTCGCCATACGCACCACAACATCATGTTAATAATCGCACAAATGTTTTTTTATAATCTTCATTTGAAGCTTTCGTGACTGCAGGAATCCATACTCTTTGGTTCTTTCGGTAAAGTCACGTTCGAAACGTCGTGATGTATTACTATATTATTTTTTCTACCTACGTGTTTGTATAATGTTCATAAACACACAGGGGGGGTTTGATGAAACGAAGTAAGTTGTAACTTAACGTGCCCCATCGCTTAATTTGTGCTTTCAATAATTTACTTTCTAAAAAAGATCTGACCATGTCTCGCACCTCCCGGAAAGGGCATTTCGAACTCCCAGGGGGTGCGTGCACCCCAGGTTAAGAACAACTGTTGTAGTGTATAGTGCAGTGTATAGTAGTGTCGTGAATAGCGTAGCATAATCATCATTATCACACAAGGCATTGTGGGATGCTGCTGGATGATGCTTCTAGACGCTTCTACAGCACGCACCACGGTCTTTGTTCAGGCCCTGCGTTACGCATCTCACGCCGTTATCACGGACTCTGCTGCTTTACCCTATATTATATATTATTTATTATAACGTGATTTTTCCATAATGTGGTGTTCTTCAGGAACGCAACTACTACGACCCCGGCCGCGTTACAGGAGGACGCGACCGTATTTATAGAGGTTAGAGATCGTGGGACCATAAACGTTGTGTCATCAAAACCCACTGCCACCCGGCATGGCTAAGCAGAGTAAGGGGTTTGTCACGTCAACAAAAACGTGCCAGCTGGCGACTGCTTCGGCACACGCTGGGGTGTGTGTCGGGAGAGTAAACCCACAACACCGTTTGATTGCATGCAAATTAAGCTTATCAGATGTTGACTAACCGTTTCACTTCGATGGCGTCACATCGGATTTGCGTTGTGTAAGACACCGCGTGCGTTACGATGTGACAACGATACTGCGATCTAACCACAAACAAAAACCTTCACGATGAACCGGTCGTGCTGCCGACCGTTACACCACCACCACCACCGCCGCCGCCTCCACCACCGCCACCGCCGCCACCGCCGCCGCCGCCACCACCACCACCACCACCAACACCACCACTGCCACCACCTCCACCACCGCCACCACCGCCACCACCACCGCCGCCACCGCCGCCGCCGCTACCACCACCACCACCACCACCGCCACCACCACCACCACCACCGCCACCACCACCACCACCACCACCGCCGCCACCACCACCACCACCGCCGCCACCACCACCACCACCACTGCCGCCGCCACCACCACCACCACCACCGCCACCACCACCACCGCCGCCACCACCACCACTACCACCACCACCACCACCACTGCCGCCGCCACCACCACCACCACCGCCACCACCACCACCACCGCCGCCACCACCACCACCACCACCACCGCCGCCACCACCACCACCACCACCGCCGCCACCACCACCGCCACCACCACCACCACCACCGCCGCCACCACCACCACCACCGCCACCGCCGCCCACTGTGGGCTGCAGCTTCCCACGCGTGTGACTCATGTTTTGAGAGGCGCTCGCACACTCACCCCTTTGCCATGCGTCGCTCGTTCCCGAGACTGCGGGAGACACGGGGGGGGGAGGGGGGGGGGAAGAACGTTCACTTAGATGGGCGTTGAGACACACAGGCGGGGGAGGCAACATTCACTTGTGTGTAGGTACGTGTGTACGTGTGGTGACACAGCGCCGGCTGCTGTCCAGCAGCGGCAACCGCGGTGGACAGTTCAGCGCCGGCAGGGCGGAGGAGCTGGGGCAAGGGTCACGGAAGGCCTCATCGGGAGGCCCCTGGGACCAGCTCGTGGGATCGAGAAGGGAGGCGCGGCCAGCGCGGAGCCAGGCCGCGCCGAGTAGAATAAAAGCAGCGGAGAGCGGGGAGCTCCGGGCTGCCGGTTCTGGGAGCGGACTCGTCTCGTCTCGTCTCGTCGTCGCCTTCGCCGCCTTCGCCGCTGCCGCCCTCGCCCCAAATTTGGGCGGCCGGACAGCGGTTGGCTGTCTCGGTCGACGCCGTCGGTGCAACGCGGTCAGGGTCGCGTCTAGGCCGGGCTGTACGGCAACGTGGCCGAGAACGGAGGCCGGGGTTGGTGTAACGGAAATAGAGAGAAGGTGCCTCCTGCAACTGCCTCGTCTGCGATTGAGTGTGCTACACACAACACCAACAAGGACACTGCACATGTATCAAAAGTGACCTGGCCATATGCAGGAGGTCATGGGTTAGACCCCAACCCCGACGCCTGTTGTATATTTGGAGTCTGCGCGTGTCTCTCTCCCCGTCATCGCGTGGATTTTTCTCCGGGTCCTCCGCTTTTTTCCCTCCGCATTTAGAATCGACGAGCATTTGGAGTATTTGGCTGCTGCTATAAATGCCCACACAATGATAAGCAACTCCGTTGAGCTATCATTTGTGGCCAGACCGCTTCTGAAAAAGAGCTACGTAGGTTCAGTGGACCTTACCTGGTAAAATATATATTTTTAATTGTATATGAATAGTGGGGAGCGGTAGAACCGCGCTCCGAACCCGGCAACCCTGGTTCGATTCCCGCTCACCGATGCCCACCGAGCTGTGTGGCTCTTTTTCAGAAGTGACCTGGCGAGAAATGATAGCTCAACGAAGTGGCTCATCATCACGTGGGAGAAAAATCCGCGTGATCACGACGAGTGAGAGAGAAAGAACACGCAAACTCCAAATATACAGCAGCAGGCATCAGAGTCGGGATCGAACCCACGACATCCTGTATACCAGGCGAGGTAGTTAACATCTCCTAGCCACCGTGGCGCCCATCCTCAGTTTGAGCCCTGGGACTGGATGTCTCTGTGAAGGGGTTCATAATGGCCATGTCACTCAGAGGCAGCGAGAGACAAAGAGAGAGAAGTCGGTGCTGCCCTTACCAGACATGCCGTCATGCGGGCATTCCTTCCCAGTATGCACTGCATCGAGGACAGCTTCTGGCTCATAGGAAATCCTGGCAAGGAGGACAGATTCTCACCTGCAAAAATGACAAAAGGCAATGAGGTTTTACTCTCAACCGTGCTTCACCACGCTGACAGAATATGTGAATCTACAGGTTACCGGTAACATAACACACAGTGCAACACAATACAAATGAAGATCCCTCGTGTAACTTTTAACAGATTGTTTGGTCTATGCGTGTGTATGTAGATGTGTCCCTGTGCTGTATGTGTGTGCATGTCCTTGTGCCCTTTGCGTGTGTGCGTACGGGTGTGTGTGTGTGTGTGCGTACGGGCATGTGTGCATACGTACGCGGGTCCCTTCGCTCTGTGTACGTACGCGTGTGTGTGTGTACGTAAGCACGTGTATGTGTGCGCGCATATGTAAACGTGTCCCCCTCGCTCTGTGTGTGTGCGTACACACGCGTGTGTGCGTGCCTACGTACGTGTTTGTGCGTACGCATGCGTGTGTGCGTGCCTAAGTATGCGTGTGCGTGCGTGCCTACGTGTGTGCGTGCGTAAGTACGCACGTGTGCGTACGCACGCGTGTGTGTGCGCGTGCCTATACAGTAAAACCTTGGATTGCGAGTAACTTGGTCTGCAAGTGTTTTGCAAGACGAGCAAAAAATTTAAATAAATGTTAATTTGATAAACGAGCGAGGGTCTTGCAAGTACGAGCAGTAGTACGTGTCTACGCTTTGTCTGACGAGCGCCGCGTGATCACAACTGATATACGAGTGCTTTGGATTACAATCACGTTTCCGGAACGAATTGTGCTCGCAATCCAAGGTTGTACTGTACATGCGTGCGTGCCTACGTGCGTGCGTGCGTGCGTGCGTACCCGCGTCTCCTTGCTCTGTGAGGCGGTGGTAGCAGCAGCTGACGAGGCAGAGGGCGTGGGCATGCGGCGAGGAGCAGAAGAGACGAACAGCGGTGGAGGAGAGGTCGCCACACGCGTGCAGGCCGGCCAGCAGCACGCCCTCACTCACGCGCACCTACAAGAACAAAGACGAAGGTCCCCCCCCCCCGTGTAGCCTGCGCAGACTGTTGGGGGCAAGTGCTGTGAGCGAGCACCTGCGAAGGCCGGCACGGCACGCATGGAGGCGGGTGGCCGGCACCGCGCCCGGCCGCCTTTGTATCACCCAGCGGCGATGTTTACTACGCACCGCACCAGGTGCTCGTTTTGAGGCTGAGCCGACCTAGGGGAGGCCCAGGACCGGTTCAGATCATCGTCAACGGTGTTGGCGGCCAAGAGCGGGAATCGAGCTCGGGTCGCCAGGTTTGTAACGCAGCGTGGCGCTAACCCCTACGCCAACGCTCCCCACACCTACACAGATGCATGCTGCACAGGCACACAATGACAACCGCCATTCACCACTAAGTGGAGGTAGCATCACGATGGCGCTTGTGACAAGCCAGGTGCACTCTAAGGACAAATGACGTGTTCAAGTCTCACTTCTGCCAAGTAAGGCCCCGCTGAGCTATGTAGCTCTTGCTCAGAAGCGACCTGGCTATCACAAATGACAGCTCAACAAAGCGGTTCATCACGTGGAAATTTACAGCAGCCAAATGCTCTAAACGCGTGACGCTGATTCTAAATGCGGAGGGGAGAAAACCGGAGGACGTGGTGGGGGGGAGGGGGAAACCGGAGGACCCGGAGAAAAATTCACGTGACCACAGGGAGAGAGAGAGACACCGCAAACTTCAAATGTACAACAGGTGTCAGGGTCGGGATTGAAACCCACCACGTCCTCCATACCATCCTCGCAGCGGCTTTTGGCTAGCCATCGAACAAAGAAAGTCTCCGCATCGCGCGCTTTCAGATGCGCTTCTGCGGCCGTTTTGAACGCTCTTTCTTCCGATATTAGGAAGCCACTGGGAGTCACGCTGCAGTTTTAAATCATCATCTAGTTTCTTGAGAACTGCTTTTTGTGCTCAAGCTTACTGTCCTTTCCCCCGCACCTCCGATAAGCAGGGTTGCCTCCGTACGGTGGTGCGAAAACACGTAAATACACACGTACAGGCGTGGTAGTTAATATCTCGCCACTGTGGTCTCACCCCGGAGTCGCCCAGGACCGCTTGGAGGTCCGTGCCGGGGGTCACGTGAGCGATCACCGTTGCGTGACCTCCCGCCTCGCCGGGGCGTGCACTCCGGGGGACGGCCGGCGTCTCGCCCGGCCTCCCCGCCCGGCCTCCTCCTCTTCCGCGCCGTCTGTCCAGCAGCCTCTCCTCCCGCCGCTCGGCTCCTCGCGTCACCGTGGGACTCGAGTCCAGGCCGGCGACGCGGAACGAGTAGCGCCAGGCGAGCTCCGAGCCCAGGTACGACTTGCCCGAGCCCAGTTCCACCACCTCGGGACACGGACGAGGACGTGCGTACGTACGCACGCGTGAAAACGGGCCGCGGTGTTAAAGCCACAGGCCGGCGGGGGGGCCACACCTTCGTCTCCCGAGTTGCATGCGGCTCTTTAATAAAGCGACAAAAACTTTTATTTTTATTTTATCAGAAGCAAACGTGGCCACAATTGATGTCGCTCAACGAAGTGGCTCATCATCATCATCACGTGGAAAATGGATCTTGGTTTGTTACGGGTTGGCCATCCCCTGCCATAGGCTAAGAATCCCAAAGGCCCCCGCATTGGGGGTGCCACGGTGGCTAGGAGATGTTAATTGCCTTGCCTGCTATTAAGGAGGTTGTGGGTTCTATTCTGACACTGACGCCTGGTGTATACTTGGAGTTTGCATGTCTCTCTCTCTCTCTCATCTCTCCCTGTGGCCGCGTGGATTTCCCTCCGGGTTCCTCCAGTTTTTCCCCCCGCATTTAAAATCAACATCACGAGTTTATTATCAGAGCGTGTTTGTTTGCACGTTCTGCCACAAAAACGTGTGGTTAATGCAGACTTAAGGCCTTGCAATAGTTTATCTATTTGGTGTTTGAACATCTTAACACCTCCATGGTCTGGAATGCTATTGCCAATAAACTGCAACTTTGATCACTACCTGTGAGATCTTCACTCAAAACTGCTCTAGAGGAGTTGTACACCCCTAGCTGCCACTGCTATTCAGAATGGCCTGAATTCAAATGTATCATTCCGGATGACCGCTGCAAAGTATGATCTTGAGTGCGGATCTTTAAAGGTGTATTGAACAAATTTGATTCTGCTACTGATACTCCTGCTATTATGGAATGACTCATGCAGCCAGTTATGGCTGCAAAGTTTGGTCGTACATGTTATGCATATCGTTTATTGTTAAATTTGAATCACAAGTTCCTATGATCACTGTTACATTGTTTTTATAGCTTTATTTTGGTAATTTTGAAAACGTTTTGGTTTAGCCATGTTTGTTTGTTGTAGTACAGAGTTAGCCTGATAACTTTAATCTACATTGTCTTATGGTTGTTATTGTTTGACTTGCATCACACTGGGATTTTTGCACACAGCATTGAAATACGGTGTTTTTTCTGGAAAACTTTGCTGTTTTTTCCAGGATTTTTCTGTTGCGTGTGGTTACTTTAAGATGTTTCTTGTTCATGTTTTTGTTTTGTCACGGTTGCACCCGAGTTAAGAGCTGCATGACTCACAGGGTTATACCTAATAAATGAAACTGAAACTGTGTTATTGTCAGAAAAGGAGAAAGCCTATTCTGGACGTTTTTTAAGGAGGATCTAGCCAAATTTTCGCATTCGGGGCAATGTTGCTGCATTGTGTGATCCCAAATGAGTAATTTGCGAACGCCGGTCATCCTCGCAGCAGCAGCAGCAGCAGCGGCTTTTCGCTAGCCATGGAACAAAGACGGTGGTCACCGCATCATCGCACGGCAATTTCACATCCGCTTCTGCGGAGGTCTGGAACGCTCATCCTTCCGATATTAGGTACCGACTGGAGCTACGCACTTTTAAACAATCTAAATTGACAAACTGAACGTACGGAGTGAAAGAAGTTCGGCATACACACATTGTTTAGTTTGTCGACCTTCCCCCAGGTACCGCCAATTAGCACGGTTAGCAACGTACAGCGGTGCGAAAACAATTAAACGTACATACATTAAATTACACACATTCGTTTTTGGATACTGGTCTACAAAAAAATTGCGTCCCGTAGATATCACCTGGTGGAGTCCGCAGCTCTGGGCGAGGCTCGCCACGGCCCCCACCATCGTCTGCACCTCGTGGCATTTCTTGGGACTCATGATGCAGTTCCTGAGGTCCAGTGCGGGAGCCAAATCTGCAGCAGACGCAAAGACATAAAGATCGACCTCTCCCCCACCACACTCCGCCAATCGTAGAGCCTTAACAGACTGTCAGGGTAAGTGCTGTTAGTAGTGAGTAGCAGCAGCGCCATCTGTGAAGGCGTGGTCATAATGCGGCTGCTATAAGTTGTTAACCAGAACACCTTCACATTGTATTACGTCCGTGTTGGCTCTTCCTGCATTGGCTTCCAGTCTCACGTCGAAACCAGTATAAAATCCTCTTATTAACGCAACAAAGCGGAGGACCATCTTGATGCCCCAGCCTACATCATTGACAAGCCGCACCCATAAGTCCCCCTTAAGGTCCCTAAGATGTGGGGGGGATCTTCCCTCTGCATTCCCAGGCCGAGGCTACTTAGCTCTGTGAGTGACCGAGATGTTTCTCCGTGTAGCCCTCAGGCTATGGAACGCTCTTCCATGAGACTTCAGAAGGATCGCTCTGAGAGTCATTTTTTTTAATGCGTCCTAAAACGTATTTATACACGCTTCCGCTTGTTAAACGGTGAGTTCTTCTTTGGTTCTTTCGGTAAAGTCACGTAGAATGAGAATAAAATAATAAATTAATAAAATAACACAATAAAATTCTCACGACGTTTCGGCCACAACACAAGTGGCCTTCATCAGGTGAAGGGACGAGACTGTCTGGAGGACAGCGCTGGAGCGAACACAGCCAAGCTCAGACCGCGGCCTTTAAGCTGTGTGAGAAGAAACAGAGCGCCTTGACAAAGGAATTAGCATAAAAATTAGCATTTAATTGTTAAAGTCAAAGCCTACACATCCACAGAGGCACCTAGTACACATCAAACAGGAGAATTTAGCATTGAAATAACTGAGGGATTAGCTTGTGACTGGTCACACAAGTAGCTATGTTAAAGTCAAAGCCTACACATCCACAGAGGCACCTAGTACAAATCAAACAGGATAATTTAGCATTGAAATAGCTGAGTAATTAGCTTGTGACTGGTCACAGAAATGGCTATGTTAAAGTCAAAGCCTACATATGTAGCCATTTCAGTGACCAGTCACAAGCTAATCACTCAGCTATTTCAATGCTAAATTCTCCTGTTTGATTTGTACTAGGTGCCTCTGTGGATGTGTAGGCTTTGACTTTAACATAGCTATTTCTATGACCAGTCACAAGCTAATCCCTCAGTTATTTCAATGCTAAATTCTCCTGTTTGATTTGTACTAGGTGCCTCTGTGGATGTGTAGGCTTTGACTTTAACAATTAAATGCTAATTTTTATGCTAATTCCTTTGTCAAGGCGCTCTGTTTCTTCTCACACAGCTTAAAGGCCGCGGTCTGAGCTTGGCTGTGTTTGCTCCAGCGCTGTCCTCCAGACAGTCTCGTCCCTTCACCTGATGAAGGCCACTTGTGTTGTGGCCGAAACGTCGTGAGAATTTTATTGTGTTATTTTATTATTTTATTCTCATTCTACGTGGTGACTTTACCAAAAGAACCAAAGAAGATGAATCCTTGCAGTCACGAAAGCTTTAAATCGAAATTTAAACGGTGAGTTAATTTAGTAAATGGATTATTAAGATGTATTTATAATCAAAATTATTTTAATGCTGAGTGTCTGCTGCTGCTGTGTCCTGTACAGCGCTTTGAGATCCTTGATGAAAAGCCGCTATATACGTGGCATTACGGGGACTCCTCTACTTACGAACATTCGACTCACGAACTTTCAGAGATACGAACAATCCTGTCCGTATGTCCAGTTGCCTGTTCGGACTGACAGTCGTAAGTTAAGCCGCTGCGCAATAGATGGCGTTGGTGGCATCTAGATCTGCAGAACGTGACTAACCAGTGGCATCTACATCTACAGGAAATTATATAACTTTTAAAACCATTCCCCCGTGTTTAGTCTACATGCCGTACAACGTGCTTGGAATCAGCAGGAGTCAAGTTGGACTTACGAACAAATAGACTTACGAACAGACCTCTGGAACCTAACTCGTTCATAAGTAGATGAGCCCCTGTATTGTTATTACGGGTGTGCTTAACTAGCAATGATTTGGCATGTTTTGTTTAGGTGACAAACCTTACGAAATGGCCGTGGCGGGTTTAACGACATTGTATATTTACGCGATCTAGCCCGAAAAGCCTCTATTATGGAAAATATTGGTCGCGAACGCTTACGTGTTAAATCTTTGTGTCTGCGAGTGTCAACGCAATCGTTCACCTTGAATGCTGCTGGGTTTGAGTGAAGTGCACAGCCCGAGGCCTGCCAGCGTGTGCCTCTCCACCTCCCTCACAAAGACACCGACCTCCGTCAGCCTCCCCCCGCTCATGAACGTGGCACCTGTGAGCACACACGCAACACATACGTCGTCGTCAGCCATGGTCAATCCACTGCTGGACGAAGGCCTCCCCAAGCCCTCTCCACCACCACCACCACCATCATCATCAGCCATGGTCAATCCACTGCTGGACGAAGGCCTCCCCAAGCCCTCTCCACCACCACCACCATCATCATCAGCCATGGTCAATCAACTGCTGGACAAAGGCCTCCCCAAGCCTTCTCCGCCACCATCATCAGCCATGGTCAATCCACTGCTGGATGAAGGCAACCCCAAACCCTCTCAACCACCACCACCACCACCATCATCAGCCTTAGTCAATTCACTGCTGAAGGCGACCCCAAGCCTTCTCCACCACCACCATCATCAGCCATGGCCAATCCACTGCTGGATGAAGGCCTCCTCCCTGCGATGTAACAATCCACGCCAGACCGCCCACCCGCTCCGCACCTGTTGCGTCACGTGATGCGGCGCAACAGAGCCACCACACAGTGAAGCGTGGGTTCGATCCCAACCCTTGATGCCTGCTGCTGTATATTTGGAGTTTGCGTGTCTCTCTGCCACCCTCCCCGTGGTCACGTGGATTTTTATTATCCGGCTGTTTCCCCTCCACATTTACAAAAGCGCATTTTGAAATCATTTAGAACATTTTGCTGTTGTAAATTTCAACGTGGTAAGCCACTTTGTTAAGCTATCATTTGTGGCCAGGTCGCTTCTGAAAAATAATACCTCAGTGGGCTTTACCTGGCAAGATAAATAATTGTTCAGTTTCATTTGGGTATTTTGAAGTGTTTTGTCTACCTCTCCTATACTTTGCACTCCAATTGTGCTTGTGTAGTGTTTATTGTTGTAACGTTCGTACCCCGTGCCTCCACTGGACAACTGTGAAAAAGAGCTTTACATCTAATCGGATTCCTCCGGTATAAATATATACTCCGATTCTGATCTAAATGCATTTTGTAGATCCTAATGATGTTTCGGATTAAACGTCACTTACAAGGGCAGAATTTAAATCATCCCTCGTCTCGTTTAATGCCCCCTCCCACTCGCTCCGCTCTCAATCTCTCCTCACCGTTCCCCCCTCTCCTCGTGCATAATCCACCATTTCCACTCCTTTTCCCATCTTGCCCCCTTGCACTGGAACAGACTTCCCCTCCACGTTAAGCAAGAAGCACCCTCCTTCCTTATCGAGTTTCCACACCTGCCCTCAAGACCCAGACAACATATTCTCCCTGGCCCATCCTTCCCTCCATCCCTAGGTACCCCCGTAATTCCCGTACCCACTAAACTTCCCTCTCCCCATACCCACCCCCTCCCTCCCTATTCGCCGTATCACTTTAAGCTACCCTAATTGTACCACTCGTGTAAAGCGACTTGGCTTAAAAGCACTGTATAAAAACAAGATATTCGCAAACAAGTCATTATGTTTCGATTCAAAGCTTTCGTGACTGCAAGGATTCATCTTCTTTGGTTCTTTCGGTAAAGTCACCACGTAGAATGAGAATAAAGTAATAAATTGATAAACTAAAATAACGCAATAATATTCTCACTAGAGAATATTTACTTTACCGAAAGAACCAAAGAAGAAGTTATTACGTACTCTTTGGCTCTTTCGGTAAAGTCACGTAGGTATTAAATAAATCACGACGTTTCGGGCGCAATACAAGCATCAGTCATCTGGTGGGAAAGCGGATGACGGACGCTTGTGTTGCTCCCGAAACGTCGCGATTTATTTTGTACCTACGTGACTTTACCGAAAGAATCAAGGAGTATGGATTCCTGCAGGCACGAGAGCCTCAAATCAAGTTATTACGTAATAACAAAAATATTTAACTCGTCGTGGCTGCCGCTGTTGGACGGGTCACGTGACGCGTTAGCGCGTAATTCAATAGCGACCAGCAAATGGAGTTGGCATCTTCAATTAAACTCTTTGGTTCTTTCGGTAAAGTCACGTAGTAGGTATAAAATAAAATAAATCACGACGTTTCGGGCGCAACACCAAGCGTCCATCATCAGGTGGGAAAGCGTGGCCTGCTGCTGAGGCAGACTGTTTTAAAAGGTATGAAATGGGTGTAGCTCAAGGGACGTAAAGAAGTGGCCGGGGCTAGTGATGTTAATGTGATAAATTAGCATGCAACTGTAAGATAGGAGAGCGGCCTCCTGGACGAGGGCACGGAAGTGGCTATGTTAATGTTAGGGATTAGCGTCATGTTAATGTGAGAAATTAGAGGGCACGGAAGTGGCTATGTTAATGTGAGGGATTAGCGTGATGTTAATGTGAGAGATTAGGGGGCATGGGAGTGGCTATGTTAATGTGAGGGATTAGCATGATATTAATGTGAGACATTAGAGGACATGGAAGTGGCTATGTTAATGTGAGGGATTAGCGTGATGTTAATGTGAGAAATTAGAGGGCACGGAAGTGGCTATGTTAATGTGAGGGATTACAGTGAGGGAAAAAAGTATTTGATCCCCTGCTGATTTTGTACGTTTGTCCACTGACAAAGAAATGATCAGTCTATAATTGTAATGGTAGGTTTATTTTAACAGTGAGAGACAGAATAACAACAACAAAATCCAGAAAACCGCATGTCAAAAATGTTATAAATTGATTTGTATTTTAATGAGGGAAATAAGTATTTGACCCCCTCTCAATCAGATTTCTGGCTCCCAGGTGGATTTTATACAGGTAACGAGCTGAGATTAGGAGCACACTCAAAGGGAGTGCTCCTAATCTCAGCTTGTTACCTGTATAAAAGACACCTGTCCACAGAAGCAATCAATCAGATTCCAAACTCTCCACCATGGCCAAGACCAAAGAGCTCTCCAAGGATGTCAGGGACAAGACTGTAGACTTACACAAGACTGGAATGGGCTAGAAGACCATTGCCAAGCAGCTAGGTGAGAAGGTGACAACAGTTGGTGCGATTATTCGCAAATGGAAGAAACACAAAAGAACTGTCAATCTCCCTCGGCCTGGGGCTCCATGCAAGTTCTCACCTCGTGGAGTTGCAATGATCATGAGAACGGTGAGGAATCAGCCCAGAACTACACGGGAGGATCTTGTCAATGATCTCAAGGCAGCTGGGACCATAGTCACCAAGAAAACAATTGGTAACACACTACGCCGTGAAGGACTGAAATCCTGCAGCGCCCGCAAGGTCCCCCTGCTCAAGAAAGCACGTATACATGCCCGTCTGAAGTTTGCCAATGAACATCTGAATGATTCAGAGGACAACTGGGTGAAAGTGTTGTGGTCAGATGAGACCAAAATGGAGCTCTTTGGTATCAACTCAACTCGCCGTGTTTGGAGGAGGAGGAATGCTGCCTATGACCCCAAGAACACCATCCCCACCGTCAAACATGGAGGTGGAAACATTATGCTTTGGGGGTGTTTTTCTGCTAAGGGGACAAGACAACTTCACCGCATCAAAGGGACGATGGACGGGGCCATGTACCATCAAATCTTGGGTGAGAACCTCCTTCCCTCAGACAGGGCATTGAAATGGGTCGTGGATGGGTATTCCAGCATGACAATGACCCAAAACACACGGCCAAGGCAACAAAGGAGTGGCTCAAGAAGATGCACATTAAGGTCCTGGAGTGGCCTAGCCAGTCTCCAGACCTTAATCCCAAAGAAAATGGCCAGGGTCAACGGCACCACCACGTGGTGTATTCCGCAAATATGCCCGACTGTGAGGGCGGGCACAAGCCGGCGTGAGTAGGTTAAACGTTGAGTTTATAAGGGCACCACGGGGTGACCAGCCCCTCCCCACCCAGCCCTACCCCTCCCACCCCCACCCTCCCCACCCTCCCCTCTCCACCCTCCCCTCCCTCCCTCCCCACCCAGCCCCACCCCTCCCATTCTTGGATGCACGACGGACGGACAGACACAATAATCCCCCTGTGGGCTGCTGGTGGTGTAACCAGGAGGACCCCCACACAGTATTAACAATGTTTTTAATTCATGAACTGACCAAACTGCTTGGATTTGAACCCATGGTTTGTGGCCGGGTCACGTGACGTACTGTTGACTTGCAAATTCCATCGCTAGCCACGTCCACTTTCCTTATGGGGTTGTGCCCACCACGGGCGAATGTGGCTTGGGGTGGCTCTCTCGCCACGTTTCCTCCTGCCTCAGCAGTCCGCCTGCTCTGTTGTTTCACCTGAAGACGATGGCTTGTGATTCATCAGTTATTTTTTTCTACCTACGTGACTCTACCGAAAGAACCAGAGAGTATTAATTTCCTGCAGTCACGACATATTGTGCTATTGTACGGTAAATGTAGTTAGCTTGTTCGATTGCACTCAACACACAAAGCGTGAAGTCGAAATTAAACATCAAATAAATCTGTCATAAAAAAACAATAATCAACAAATAAAAACATTTACGGACCGGTGGTTGGATTGGAAACCCGTGGTGGTGAGTGGCCGGGTCACGTGACGCAACAGCGGCACACGTGACTACCGTAGAGTAAATGGAATTAACGTCTAAAATGTTTATTCTTTTAAACAACTAAGAACAAATACAAAAATAAATATATTTACTGACGTGACGCACCAGGGCACATTTAAATACCGTCCTATAAATGTAGCCAAGACGTTAAATTAAACTCAACCGGCACGAGTGAACTTTTTTTTAATGAACAATGAAACATCCATCTGCATTATTTTTTAAACCCACTGAGATATGTATAAATTTTAAACAATAATACTTAATTTTTATTCACTAACCGGTGGTTGGATTTGAACGCGTAGTGGTGTGTGGCTGCGTCACGTTACGTAACAGGGCACATTGAAATACCGTACGGTAAATGTAGCGAACGCCTCCACCTAAACTCAACCCACACGCGTGACATTTCAACAACGAAACAAACGTATCTGCATTTTTTTTTAGTTGTGTCGCGTTAAACCCTTACCGATAAATTAATTTAAAAAAAAAATGTTTTTAATAAAAAAAATATTAAAACTGACCGGCGGCGGTTGTATTTGAACCGGCGGCGGCGTGGTCGTCGGTGAACGACCGCGATTGGCGGGTGACCTCCTCACGTGACGCGACGTCACCCAGCAGGGCGCCGAGAACGCGAGCGGGAGACGTCTCCCCGTCGTCCCCTGCCGCTCGCCACACGGCCCGGCTCCACGTCGCGTCGGCGTAGAAACGCGCAGAACTCTCCCCCAGCACGAACATGGAGGCGCGGACGAAGCGCCACGCGGCCTCCGCCTTCTCCGCCAGTAAGAGTGAGTCGGGCATGGCCTGCCGCGTGTGGTTGGTGTGTGTGTGTGTCGCAGGTAAACTCTTGGTTTTAAATCACTACCTGGTGTTGTTGTTGTTGTCGTGTGTCGCACGTCGAGTCGGGCCTATAATGAGTCATCTACACCTGGTGCGGCGTGTGTATGGCGAGTCCGTTCGGACTCGTCTCGTGTGTGTAAACGTCAGCGGTGGGGAGAGACAAAGACGGCCGGGCGTGGTGTTAGCCACCCGCAATGTCGGCCCGTCGTGTGTGCTGCTACTCGCTACTACTACTACACACTTTGCCCCTCCCTGTTCTGGGTGGGGATGGGAGAATCTCTGTGTTTGATGTCGCGAGTTTAAAATAAATAAAAATGTTTAAATTTTACCTCAGGAGTCACCGACTCCTCGCAATGGCGGGTCGGAGGGGGGCGTTGACGGGGAATCGATTCTTGCGGGTGTTTTCCCCTTATCGATTCGTGACAATCGATTCCTCCCATCGGGGTTTTTGCGGTGGAGTCGGTAAATGGTAAATTTGTGTACGTCGATTCGATTCCTCTTTGGATTGACCGCGGCGGTGGAATCGACGTTTGCGGGTTAAGGAGGAATCGATACAACTTTATTTCTTAACGGATTTTAACTATCTTCTTTGGTTCTTTCGGTAAAGTCACGTAGAATGAGAATAAAATAATAAATTGATAAAATAAAATAACGCAGACAGTCTCGTCCCTTCACCTGAAGAAGGCCGCTTGTGCTGTGGCCGAAACGTCGTGAGAATTTTATTGTTATTTTATTAATTTATTACTTTATTCTCATTCTACGTGACTTTACCGAAATAACCAAAGAAGATTAATCCTTGCAGTCACGAAAGCTTTAAATCGGGAATTTAACTAATCTTGATTTGAAGCTTTCGTGACTGCAGAAATCCGTACTCTTTGGTTAAACCCAGGATGGATCGTAGGCAGGCCGGCCTAACTGTTTCTAACCGGCGAAGATGTTCCTTGAAGGGAGGTCAAGACCATGGCCGAGAAGACCTGAAGCTTAGTGCGGAGCGACAGACCAGGTAGCTTCCACGCAGCGTTACGTAGCCGATTAAATGATAATGCCGCTGAACTGATTCGGAGTGAGACCTCTGCTGTCAAACCGGAGCCAGTCATGAGCACACTGCCCAGGTATGGGAAACTCTACACTCTCTCCACAACTGCCCCATCACCAATTAGGAGTTGTGGGAGTGGAGCGTCTGATGGTACAAAATACCCAGGCAGTTGCTTAGATTTGGTGGGGCCCCACCTCTCAGTGGCAAGCTCCAGGTTCAGCAGCAGCGCCTCCAACTCCTCCTCTGAGTGAGCAGCAATCGCCAAATCATCGGCATACATAACGTGGTTGACCAATATGGAGCCATCCCTTGATTGCACCCGGGCATTGAACAGCCTCCCATTGTATCTGAACCAGATGGAAATTCCTCCGGTACAGCCATCGAAGGCTTCATGAATGACGTGGTCGTAATATATGTTAAATAATGTGGGAGCCAGAAGACATCCCGGTTGCACCCCAAGATGAATAGGGAATGGCTCCAACTCCTGGCCACGTAGGCCCTTAATGATAGGGAGCAGAGAGTCAGGGACTCCTAAAGCACGAAGAACAACCCAGAGCCCAGACCTAATGATGGTATCATAGGCCTTGACCAGGTCAATAAAACAGAGATGTAGGTCTTGTTGGAATTCCCTACACCTCTGCTGGAGCAGACGGACAGAAACTATGACATCTGTGCAGGACCGCCCTGGCCTGAAACGACATTGGGGCTCCGCAAGCCTCTCCTCAGCGTGCCTGGCAAGGCGATGTTGAATAATAATTTACAGGACCCGGCAGACAAAGATCCCCTGTATAGCCTTAACAGACTGTTGGGGCAAGTGCTGTTAGCAAGCACCTGTGAAGGCCGACACAGCACACGAGGGGGTGGGTGGCCAGCACCACGTCCGGCCGCCTTTGTCGCCCCAAGTGGCGATGTTTACACACCTCGCCAGGTACTCATTTGAGGCTGAGTCGACTGGGATCACCCAGAAGCAGAAGCAACATCGCCCCCTACTGCGAAAAATTGGTAGGCCCATCCTGAAAAATACTTTTTTTACGACAGTATTTGTTATTTTGCCCGGTACATTTTGTCATTAACCCACAGCTACCCGACACAGCCAGTTTAAACTTGAAGGTTTTTTTTGTATTTTAACAGGTGGGGCCCCACTGAGCTATATGGCTCGTTTTTAGAATCGGCCTGACTATCACAAATATTAGCGCAATGAAGTGGCTTATCGTCATGTGGAGATTTATAGCAGCCAAATATTACAAATGCACGTTGATTCTACATGTGGAGGGGAATAACCGGAAGGCCCAGAGAAAAGAAATCCAAGTGGCCACGGGGAGAGAAACATGCAAACTCCAAATATACAGGTGTCAGGGTCGGGATTGCACCCACGACCTCCTGCGTACCAGGCGAGAGAGTTAACATCTCCCCACCGTGGCGCCCCATGCATTACCAAAGCATATTTGTTTACATGTTTAACCACAAGTATGTGTAGTTAAAGAAGACTTTGAAGCGTCGCAATGGCCACATTGCCATCTGACTGCAATATACAGGGACCCAAAAAAAACTACAAGGACTCTTCTACTTACGAACAAGTTATGTTCCAGAGGTCTGTTCGTAAGTTTATTTGTTCGTAAGTCCAACTTTACTCATGTCGATTCTAAACGTGTTGTACGGCGTGTACACTAAACACGGGGAATGGCTTTCAAAGTTGTACAATCTCCTGCAGATGTAGATGCCACTGGTTCTTCATATTCTGTAGATGCCACTGATTGTTCATGTTCTGCAGATGTAGATGCCACTGATTCTTCATGTCCTGCAGATGTAGATGCCACTGGTTCTTCATGTTTTGCAGATGTAGATGCTACTCGTTCTGCATGTTCTGCAGATGTAGATGCCATTGATTCTTCATGTTCTGCAGATGTAGATGCCACTGATTCTTCATGTTCTGCAGATGTTGATGCCACTGGTTCTTCATGTTCTGCAGATGTAGATGCCACTGATTCTTCACGTTCTGCAGTTGTAGATGCCACTGGTTCTTCATGTTCTGCAGATGTAGATGCCACTGGTTCTCCATGTTTCTGTCGATTAAATGTCTTATCATTTGGAAATGTATAGCAGCAGCCAAACACCTTAAACACGTGGTGATGTTGATTCCAAATGTGGAGGGGAAAAAAAACGGAGGACCTGGAAAAAATCTACGTGACCACGGGGACAGAGGGATGCAAACTCCAAATATGCTGCAGGCATCAGGGTTGGGATTGAACCGACGACCTCCTGTACACCAGGCGAGGTAGTTAACATATCCTAGCCCACCCTGATGATGATGAGAGAGTGATACGCAAACACCAGGCATACAGCAGCAGGCATCACCAGGGTTGGGATTGAACTCATGACCTCCTGTATACCAGGCGAGGTAGTTAACATCTCCGAGCCACTGTGCTGCTATCAAACCCCCAATGGATTTCAAATGTGTGGCGGCCCCTCACATACTAATGATGTCTTAACGGCGACAGTGCACCCCTCCGGTTCCCCCATCGGAAAATGAGTGACGAACCACTAGAATAACAACAACAAATAAAAATTCACGACGTTTTGGCCACAACACAAGTGGCCTTCATCAGGTGAAGGGACTGTGCTGTCATGAGGACAGCGTTGGAGTGAACGCGACCTGGGCTTGGCTGTTTTCGCTCCAACGCTGTCCTCATGACAGCACGGTCCCTTCACCTGATGAAGGCCACTTGTGTTGTGGCCGAAACGTCGTGAATTTTTATTTTTTGTTGTTTTTTTACGTGACTTTACCGAATAGAACCAAAGAGTATGGATCCTTGCAGTCACGAAAGCTTTAAATCTAGAACCACTAGATTACTAGAATGTTCTGAATAAACAATAATACCGTTTAGCCGGCAGCAGGTGGCGCTATAGCCACGTAAAATCTCTTTGACGCAGCCACGAAAGGTGGCCTTTGTAACCACGGACGCAGCGACAATGTTCCAGCAACAAATCGCAGTTTTCACGATACGAATGTTATCGCCATTTCACTTTTCCCAGTAACTTTGTAATAGCATTTCACGTTATCTATGCGACTTATACCATTGGAAACCTCATTTGCCAGTAACAAAATATGATAATTGTTTTTTTACCTTCTTTGGTTCTTTCGGTAAAGTCACGTAGAATGAGAATAAAATAATAAATTGATCAAATAAAATAACACAATAATATTCTCACGACGTTTCGGCCACAACACAAGCGGCCTTCATCAGGTGAAGGGACGAGACTGTCTGGTAGGACAGCGCTGGAGTGAAAGAGCCACGTTCAGATCACGACCTTTAAGCTGTGTGAGAGGAAACAAAGCGCCTTGACAAAGGAATTAGCATATAATTTAGCATTGAAATGGCTGAGTGATTAGCTTGTGACTGGTCACAGAAATAGCTATGTTAAAAGTTAAAGCATACACATCCGCAGAGGCACCCCTTGACAAAGGAATTAGCATAGAATTTAGCATTGAAATAGCTAAGTTAAAGCATACACATCCGCAGAGGCACCCCTTGACAAAGGAATTAGCATAGAATTTAGCATTGAAATAGCTGAGTGATTAGCTTGTAACTGGTCACAGAAATAGCTACGTTAAAGTCAGAGCATACACATTCACCGAGGCACTTAGTACAAATCAAACAGGAGATTTTAGCATTGAAATAACTAGGCGAATTTAGCATTGAAATAACTGAGTGATTAGCTAGTGACTGGTCACAGAAATGGCAACAAAACTGACACCTTTTTTACAAGGAGTCATGTTTACATTGACCACAATACCTGCCGTCGGAACGCAAACAAAAAATAACAACTCTGATAATGTATGCACTGTCCTTGAAATTGATTGGTCCACACCCGAGACAGCTTTCTTTAGCTACACACACATACTCTGATGGTGCATTGTCTTTGAGTTGTGCGCCTTTTGGCGTCTTCTGGTCCAACACCCACGTGAGACGAAGCTCTAAAGAAAGCTGTCTCGGGTGTGGACCAATCAATTTCAAGGACAGTACCACATACATTATAAGAGTTGTTATTTTTTGTTTGCATTCCGACCGCAGGTATTGTGGTCAATGTAAACATGACTCCTTGTAAAAAAAGGTGTCAGTTTTGTTGCCAGATAAAAGGGTAAAAAAACAATTATCATATGCGACTCGTGAAAAAATGGAAATCTTATATTCAGTGACTCGCTCACCTATTCTCTCTATTTTGCACCGTTTGTTTGTTTTTTTGGGGTATTTTGCTTTCGTAACTTTCTGAGCCCGTGCCACATTTTAAATTTGAGTGCTTTTGGCGTTTCGCCGGTGATCACAACCGCCACAGGCAGCAGCTTCATCAGGCGATTTGCCGTAATCACCAGCGGCGTGTCGCAGT